GCGAAGTCCACACATCATTACTTCCTTATAACCATTTGCTTTTCTTTTAGTTGTGTTGTCTCTTGTCTCATGGTTGAACCATTCCTTCCGTGGACATGCACGTAATTCACGTGCATTCTTCAGGGAATAACAAATGCATGAATGTCTTTTACAGAATTTGACAGGCACACGGTCAGTTTGTGGGTGAAAAATTAATTAGAAGGTAAATATTTGATTGTAAGAAACTGCTTTGGCTTGGGCAACAACTGAAGTCACAAGATGCACAGACTGGACATATATGATGAAGATGTAGAATATTTGTGACTTTTATATTATTTTAGTGTCTGTAATATTTTTACAGAGAAAAACAAAAAACTTCTTCATTTTATTATTATCTGTGAAAACTTACTCAGTAATTAAGAACAGGGGCTTTTGCCTCCATCAGTCCCCTGTGGGAGTGGGTGTGACTCTGCCTGCACCACTATTACGCAGAGCCCCCTCCTCTATCTGGTACTGCGTATGTGAGGAGAATTAGACCAGCCACTGGCATGGATGGAAGCTACTATCTTGCTCAGTTTACAGGGGTGGGTGGGCTTTGTGCAGCATCCTTTTGAACTGCACCAAATGCCCCAACCAGAATTATTGTCATTTGTAGTCTCATGTCACTCATATCTTTTAATTATTGCTAACAATAATTAATAAATATCAGATTTTATGGCTTGCCATTTAGACTTTGATGCCTCCTTTACCCCTTCTCCTTTCCCCCCCTCTTTTCTTACCCGGTAGTCCAACGTGGCCAGGTGAAGGGAGGCAGGCATGACGACAGATGGCCCTTACAGTCTGACGGATTATATATTAACAACAAGCAGCTCACATTCTCATGCACACGCAAATAGAGGCGTATACACTCACTCACTCACACAGTCTAGTTGATATTGCTTTACCCTACACACACGCCAGCAGATTCATGCCAGAGACACAAATGGTTTGTCACAGCACAGCTGACAGACAGCAGGAGTAGAAGAACGAGGGATTTAACCCATGGACGGAGATACAGAGAGCAGTTTTTCATCCATCACCATGGAGGTGTGGAGCTCCTCAGCATCTGAGGGAGACGAGGAGGAGAGGAGCCATTCCAGTCTTTTAGATGAAATAGCAGAGGAGAACAAATGCCACAACAGCAATAACAATAACAACAACAACAATGACAACCTTTGCAGGGAGGTGACACAAGGTGAGATGTGCTGATCTTCTTCTGCAGAGCTCATACTTAGAAAATAGAAATAAGAGAATGTAGAAGTAAAATATTAAAGGTCAAGTTCAAGTGCAACTCAGATATTCTTGTCTGGTGTACTCTGTAGTACATTGCGTTGTCATGGTCCTCGTTATCTAAGCACTTTAATACTTAATGGTGAACTGCGTATACTGCAGGGTGCAGTTGTGTCACTGAAGATACACTGTGCAAATGAAGATTAACCTTTAACAAAAAGCGAGTCTTTGCAGACCCTGCTTGAAGCTTTAGTTCAAAATTAGAGCATCAAGAGGTGTAAAGTTTTGTAAGTGTATTCAGTTTCAGTTTTTCCTTTTAGTGTTGTGAAGGTCAGAGTACCTGTGAGTGTGTATGCCCATGCATGCTGCAGCAGCACAACCAGGCTGTGTATGCAAGCGATCAAATTATAATTCTCGGTCATTCCATTTTGTGTTTTCTCTTTTTACTGTATGGATCCAGCGTTACACTATATATGTTTTTTCCTTTCTCCTGCAACAAACAAAGGGGGGAAAAAAGCAAAATTAGCTTTAGTTTTTGCAGGACAAGTTAGAGAATTTAGACATATTTCTCTTTCTAAGAATGACTACTGTTTAATAGATGTGCTTTTGAGGAACAACAACTGCAGGTGCATTACTGTACTGCTGCTCTAGTTCCAATCCTATAATTTCAGGAGCTTTTTCCTAAATGTGACTGGTGCATTAAAATGCACCAATTTAAACTGACATTTGCCAAATTGAGACATTTTACATAACATAATTTTTTTTTTTTGCTTTTTCTCCAGATCAGTTTGTATACCAAAAAAAAATCTGGTACTGCTCTAGTACTTTATAAGTAAATGCATGTCTATGTAGGCTTGTTTTTATCTGAATGACTGTGTGACATGTTCCAGGCCTTTTATTTAATGTGTGCATTTATAGCTGTGTTTTTTCCCCTCTGTGCTGCATGTTGTGTGGGTGTGCATGACGGTGCAAACCAAATGTTAATCAGAAATATAAGTCCTATATTTCTTTTTAGTGACATGTATTTTAACTTGGATCTGTCCCTTAATACTGTTATTGACTTGCTTAAACTGCACTAAAAATGTACAGACAGATTTGCACTAGGAAGTCTTGTGAGACAAATATTTTATCCTGCCAATCCTATCAAATGGTCACCTTCAGAACAATACAGATCAATGATCACTGTAAATGTTATTCCTGGAGCTCATCTATGTCCGTCTGATCCCTCAACCTAACAGACGTCATAAGCGCACCTAAGTCATTAAGGAACAGTATTAGACTTGCAGTCCATTGAACTTGACTAGATTTAGCTCAGCCTAGACCCCAAAACCTCTACCTGGATCTGCTCTGTGCCGTGACAGCTGGGTTAAGAGGAAATAGATTAGGTATTTTGGCCAGTGGGATAGAGGGTGTAAATAATACACAGTACTCTAACTTCAGTTTAATGTTCTTGTAACCACTGAGATTAGGCAGTAAAATGTAAAAAAGTAGTGTTTCTTCTTGGTTTAACATGTCATTGTTTTGGATATGTGAAAATGAAAATGTGTTCCTACCAGTAGTCCTGCTGCAGACTTTCCCCTTAGCACTGCACTTTCAGGACAATAGGATTTAAAGAAGTTAACCTATTATCTGATTAACCTTTGTTAATTTACAGATTCTATTGTGGTCATCACATTAGTGCACAAGTAGACGTGCATCACTGTGATGATTTGCTGTTTCGTTTCCAGTTTGGATTATTATTGACCTTGAAGTCTTATCTCTATTGTTGAAATGTTGCTGAACATGTGACATTTTTTCATTAGCAGATTAAATTTCAGGATTTTTGTAACACTTGCATTTGTTTGATTATGCTCACATTTTAAAGAGATTGGATTTTAATACGAGACATTAGACAGTATCTCTGACCTGACTTTTATGATGCAGACCTGCAGAGCTAGTGTTATCATTCAGTGGAGGCTGGGTATTCAAGTGCTTTTGCCTTGCTGCAGTGTCCTTGAGAGAAACATATTATCCTGCCAGCTGACCTGTTACATAGCCAACATATGTGAGCATTAAAATTGAATCCAAAGGGTGGCAAGCATCATTTGTCATCTCTGTGTGTGTCCTAGAATCAACTCTTTGGCTTTGACACATGATCCCCTCTACTGCTCCTGAGAAGTCTTCAACAAAATAATTAAGTTCCTGATCTCACATATTTTGACAATGACCAAATTTTTCTTTGATCTTAGTAAAAATAAATCCTGTAGATGTGGTTCATGCTATAAGTTATGGCCAATATAAAGTGTTCTTACACAGAGCAATGCGGTACAGTCCAGCCTAACATTGGGTTCCTTCCATTAGGCTGATTAGATACTGACACAGCTATCCAATCACTGTGTTTCCAGGCCAAATTCAGGACAGTCTAATTGTGTGCCAGGCAGCTTCCCATCTCTTTAGCTAAGCTTTCATCTGAAGTAAGATTATTTAACTTTAGAGATGTTGCATACAGAATCGTAAGCTAACCCAGCCAATGTCTGCACATCTTTAAGCAGATTCTAAAACACTGTATATATGCATTTTACACAAATGAGGCATGCCACTAAACAGTACCTATAATTAAAGGCATTATTGCAAAGACAGAAACAAAGTGAAACCACGATCTCATGGTAAAATGGTAAATGGCCTGTATTTATCTAGCGCTTTACTAGTCCTTAAGGACCCCAAAGCGCTTTACATATCCAGTCATCCACACACACATTCACACACTGGTGATGGCAGCCACATTGTAGCCACAGCCACCCTGGGGCGCACTGACAGAGGCGAGGCTGCCGGACACTGGCGCCACCAGGCCTCTGACCACCGCCAGTAGGCAATGGGTGAAGTGTCTTGCCCAAGGACACAACGACCAAGACTGTCCAAGCCGGGGCTCGAACCGGCAACCTTCTGATTACAAGGCGAACTCCTAACTCTTGAGCCACGATCGCCTCATACCTATTAGTAAATGTCTGAAAAATAATTTAACCTATTGAAATTTAGAAATGATGATTACATGAATGCTATTAATGTAAAATCTGTCTTATCTATCCTAAACGAATGACTGATTAATCCTGTTCGCCACTTCAGCTTTAACTGGCTTGTTTATGTCTACTTCACTGTACAGGATGTAAACAAAGTTACAGGTCAATAGCCAGCCACTGTTATCCTTTCCTGGTGTGAATACCTAGTCAGTTTAGTCCCTGTACATAGACCTATATTAGCATCCAGGAGAACGAGGTCTTTAGTGGCGTCTTATCTGGGCTAAAAAGGATCAAGCTAAGAGGATCAGTTTGTGGCTGACCATGTGGAGCTGTTGTGTCTCGAGATCTGGTTAATGATAAGTAGCAATAATGTAACTCTATCAGGTAGGCGGGTCTTTCTTCACTCCAGTGGACATCTTGTTTTTATCTTTTTGATAATTCAGGTTCACCAGTGCATCGACAAATGCAACCAAGCACAGCAGCTTTGAATAGAGAAAGAAAAAGAGAAAGAGATGTTACAGTAATGGACAAGAAATATCAGGAAAGTCTTTACACCGTAATATCATGTAACCTATTAAAGGTATTTGTAAAGTAGAAACGGCAAGAGATCAAAGTGACAAAAGCAATCTAGTTGTCTAGTTAGCCTTACACCATCCTGCTGTTAGCACGACTGACTTCTTGCTGTTCCCTTCCATTACCATCTACAGTTATGTCTTTTCCTTCATTCATTAAATTCATCTCTCACTCCTCCCACAGTGCTGTCCTCAGACAGAGTTGGCCAGGTCACCAAGACATATCATGATATCAAGGCGGTCACCCACCTGCTGGAGGAGGTAAGACAGAGACACACAGCAGATGAATGGAATTTAAGAGGATTAGACTTATCTGCCTCACAGATCATCACTGTTTGCCACAGTTTTCTGCATATTTTTGTCACCTCTCTCAGTGCTATCTACTAACATTTTGGTCTTACATAATTACGGTTTAAATTAGTACAGTGTAATCAAATCATTTAAAACCTTAAACATATCTCAACGTATTTATTAATTTATATGTTTGATTATGACTTTGCAGAAAGAGCGTGATCTGGAATTGGCAGCACGGATTGGCCAGTCCCTCCTGAAGCAAAACCAAGAACTAACGGCACGTAATGAAATGCTGGATGAACAGCTTGAAATTGCAAAGGAGGAGGTAAACAGAAAGGCTCCTGATACACACCTGTATAGCGAGATGGAAATATTTCATCTTTGTTGTGCCACACTCTGCTGTGCTTAAGTGATCGTGACTTGTTTTCCTAGATTGCTCAACTGCGCCATGAGCTCTCGATGCGAGATGACCTCCTTCAGTTCTATGCGAGCACTGAGGAGATTGAAAACGCTCAGTCGCAGTCACCGTGAGTACACAAATGTGCACATGGTGTAACGCACAGGGTTGAATGATGACGAGCTGCTGGCAACTTGTTTTGCATATTGTGTATAAGTCTTACTTTAACATATGTAGCTTTTTTCTGACTAAAATTGTATTTGTCTAAAAATCTGTAACAGAGGTGCAATGCATCCTATACTCTAACTATGCTTCAAGATGTTATCACAAAGTACTTTCAGTGGACTTCATGCTGTAGTGGTACCAAAATGTTCCTCAGTGTTTATGATGGTGAATGTCCGCTATGAAGGATTGTGTTTACACTGTTGGTTACTACCTTGGGCTTATACATAAGTAAACAGACGTCAGAACATCCCCACTGATCCTCTCAATGTCTTCAGCTAGTAAAACCCTCCCCATCAGCAGTTAATCATTCCTATTACACATTATTAGACTCTGTTAACTTAGATTCATCGCAGTGATCCATGCTAATTATTTTGAGCGTTAATTATATTATAAAATATCCTATTTATACAGGGCTTAGCACTTGATCACTCTTTTTCAGAATCAGAATCAGAATCAGAAAGGGTTTTATTGCCAAATGTTGAGCAGGTTTACAACATTAGGAAATTGCTGCAGTACTTAGTGCAAAACATACTGTCAGATAACGCTTAAATAAACATAAAAATTAAAATTAAAAGTGCTAAGTAGATAGATATATACATGAGTGCAGGTGGTGATCGGTGCAAACATGGAATGATGCAGTGAGCACAGTGTAGGGTCATGTGTTAGTGGTAGGAACAGTCATGTGGTTTGTTCATGAGAGGTAGTGATGGGTCGTTCGCGAACGAAATGGCTCTTAGAGCCGGCTCTTTGACGTGAACGATGCGAGCCGGATCCTTATCGCGAGCCGGCTCCTTATCGCGAGCCGTCACGTGGGGTTTTTTTTTTTTTTTCTTTCTCTCAGCCTCTCTCGCACTTTTTTCCGCTTCACTCTGCACGCGAGCCTTGTGCTTTACGCTGGGCAGAGGGGGAGGGGCGGTAGTTACACTCAGTAGCACAGGAACAGTGCCAGAGAGAGAGAAAGAGAGGCAGGGACAACAACATTAGAAAGGTATAGTAATCATCCACAACTATTTTCGGTTGCAGATGATAAAGGATTGAGAAAGTTTATTCATGCAGGTCCATATGACAGAGAATATGCATGTTCTTTTAGTTTTCATATTATAATTTATATTTAATTGTGTTGTGGTTTGCAGTGTTTTGTGTTCTTTTCACTTTAAATTTGTGAAAGGAAAAAGCTGAAAATTTAAATAGTTAAAACTTGAAATGTGAATAGTTGATTTTTGTATTATATGATTTATTTATTACATTTTATGTGGAGTGAATAAATAAAAGTATATTTACGGTGGCCCCTAGAGACAAAGCACATACAAACTTCAAATCACGTACGAACTCTGAAGCATGTACAAACTCCAAAACACGTAAAAACACGTACAAACTCCAAAACACGTAAAAACTCCAAAACACGTAAAAACACGTACAAACTCCGAAGCACGTAAAAACTCAGAAGCATATAAAAACTCAGAAGCACATAAAAACTCAAAACACGTACAAAAGACAACAGAAGTGCTCCAGGATGCTGGGCACAGTGTTGAGCCTTTGTTATCTTGTGGCTACACAAGCCAGCAAGTACCAACGACCGGATTTGGTGTGTGGTAATAACAGGTAAATGAACTTTTTTTTAAAATTATTTGAATATATATATGAGTGCCTGTGTATAAATACACAAACAATACACACATGCTTTCAATTGTGTGATTTAAGTGATCTAGTAGCTCTGCTTTGGAAGTTCAGTTCATGCTAGAAATGTGTTTTGGAGTTTATATGTGTTTTGTCTCTAGGGGCACCGCATATATTTATATATAAACATATATAAATAAAACCACTTGTTTTTACGTTAGTAATTCCTTTTGTGCATAATTTTATATTATTGTTAATAATAAATTAATTAAAGCAACAAAACAACCTGAAGAGCCGGTTCGGAGCCGAAAGAGCCGGCTCTTTTAGTGAGCCGAACCGAAAGAGCCGGATCTCTAAAAAGAGCCGGAAATCCCATCACTAATGAGAGGTTCTGGTGCGAAAGGACCAGAACCTCCTGCCTGAGGGGAGCAGGTCAAACAGACTGCGTCCAGGGTGAGAAGGGTCAGCTATGATCCGAGCTGCACGCCCTAGTGTCCTGGAGGTGTACAGGCCATGCAGAGATGGGAGTCTGCAGCCAATCACCTTCCCAGCAGAGCGCACAACATCAACATTTTCATCACTTTTCTTATAAAAATTTGGATTTTATTTAATATAAATGCATTTCTTTCTTTCTTTAGAATGAAAAGGAATGAATCATCAAGTTCACTCACCAACTTCATCCACTATGACTTCCTACAGCAGAAACTGAAAGGTTTAGAGGAGGAGAACCGCAAGCTCAGATTAGAGGTATGCACTAACTTTGAAATTAAAGAGATATTCCTGTTTGTTGTGTGTTTATTTATTCACTTATTTGAAAATAAATAGTACAGTATGCAGTGCGTCTTTGCACATTGCACACAGAGTTTTCAAGACTGCTGTTCAGCATCACATATGATAATTGATTATTAATAATTTTTTCTGCAGGCTACTGAGCTCTCAACGGAGACATCAATCTACGAGGAGCAAGAACAGGAGCTGATGATGGTGTGTGTGGATGAGCTCTGTAAGTGTCACAGTCTTGCTTCAGTCAATGAAAATGAGAATTATAAGTCAGGCACAAGGAAATTTATGGGACTTGTGTGTTTCAGCATCTGCCAATAAGCAGGTGGTTGACTTGTCGGAAGAGCTAGCGCGGAAAGTAGAGGATTGTCTCAGGCAGCAGGAGGAAATCAGCTCGCTGCTTGCTCAGATCGTTGACCTGCAGGCACGCTGCAAAGGGGTGAGAGGCTCACACATGTGCACAGCTTTTGTTATGGATTATATTAAATACTTGTGTTAAAACTTTTTGAATTCTGTTCTCTTTCCGTCTAGCTCACCCATGAGAACGAGGAGTTAAACCACCAGCTGAATGCCTCCCGTGAGAGCCAGCAAAAACTGAAATCTGAGGTAAGATACTCGCTTTGTAATCTCTGTGACTTCAACGGCATTTTTGGTGTTGGATTAAGATGATTACATGAGCTCAGTTTTGATTTGTCTTTGTGTGTGGCTGAAAAGCTCTCATAATATAGACACAGATGTAGAGTTTGAGGTGTTTACAGAAACCCATTTTTGGCTTTAGATAGATATGCTGATTCCAGCACCGCTTGGTGATTTATTATCAAATGTGTATGTGTAGAAGCTTATCATAGCAAGCTTCTACATATATATTCAGCTGCTCCTGTGTATTTTGTCAGTGGCATGACACTTTTCCCCCCCTTGATCTACAGTTTGACTGATTTGTCACCCCCTGTCTCTAGCTCAAGGACTTGCAGGACAAGTACTCAGAGTGTAAGGACATGCTCCACGAAGCCCGAGAGGACATTAAAAATCTTCGAAACAAGAGCCTGCCAAATAGCACCGTGCAGCGGTACACTTCATTGGCCTCAGTCCTCCCCATGGACTCACTGGCAGCAGAGATTGAAGGCACTTTCCGCAAAGGCCTAGACACCCCAGCTCCCTCAGAGTACAAGTGAGTCTGTGACCTGCGTCTGTTTGGCTTATATGCACATTTAAAAAAATCCTTATCCACTTTGTCTGGTCTAAATTGACCAGATTGTACCGTGAATATTGAGTAGCAGTTGTAGTTTCATGTAGGGCTGGGTATCGTCACTGATTTCTAGAATCGATTCAATTCCGATTCACAAGGTCCCGAATCGATTCGATCCACGATTCGATTTAATTCGATTCGATTCGATTTAAATCTGGGAAATTTTGACAGTCAGAGATATAATTCAGATCAGGACATTTACATATTTTTGTATCTATAAAAAGGAAGCTGACACTCTCAAGACTTTATCCAAGGTGTGAGCATCACAGCAGATGCCTTTGTGTCAAAGTAGCTGAAGATAAAACACAGAAAAACATGTAGGTGATTTTCCTGGCCTGGGATTTTATAAAAATATTCTGCAGTACATCAAAAACGAAAGAAAACCATTAATTAATCAACATTACCTCTGACGTTACAGCGGTTTTATTAGAGACATGGCTAAGCATTTTGCATTTTGAATCATTTTAAAAAGTTTCAATTTGCTCAGTATTGAACAGCAGAAATGAGGCTTTCTTTTCGGAAGACTGTAAAAGGGAAAAAAACAGCGGCCGACAGCGCTGTAAGCAACAGTAGACTTGTGTAACAAGCAAGCGAATAATGAAGAAAGCGAAACTGTTCGAGAGAGAGAGGGGGGGAGAGGGGGAGGGAGAGAGGGAGAGCTGCGCATCGCAATGGAAGCAAAACAGTAAAAGAGTGAATTCATGACGATGTTTATGTGAAGCGTTTGGATCTTCTTTAGCTGCTGGTTCGGTCAATATTGTTTGGAGAGAGATCAAACTAACAGCTTTAGAATCAGCGCATAAAGGGCGTGAACACAAAGCGCCGACCCGGATCAGCGAGCTGTCGGCTTTCAGCCCCGACTGTGAGAAAGGCGACATCTAACTGATTCTGATCCGCGGGTCGCGCTGTGTGTTTAAGTCTATGTGCAGAATCCCTGTACCTGCTCTCATTTACTGTTTGGTGGTTCTTGAAATTTTGTGAGATGTCACCAGAGATTCTGGCATTTCGGACAAAATAAATTTATATTAAAAAATCGATTCAGGATTTTAATGAATCGATTTTACGTTATCCAAGCCAGAATCGATTTTAATCGATGAATCGATTATAAAAACCCACCCCTAGTTTCATGTTCCTGTTTTCATAAGAATTATTTTCTAGAACTACAGAGATAACTAAAGTTAAACAAGTTCAGCTCTGGGAAACCACCTTTATACCTTAAGTACTTAAATTCTGTGGTAGTTCCACTCCCTGCCCTATCACACCTTAAACTCAAATGCCTTCGTCAAGTGGCTTTTACTTTTATAGCAGCTCAGCTTTTATTAGACACATTCCTTACAGAAGAAAAAAAACATCCGGTACAATAGTACTGACTGAATTGATGCATGTTTGAAAATAATTACTAGTAAGGTTTAGTATGTTACATGTTTATGTGTTGTTGTGGTAATTTTTTAGATTAAATTTATGCGATTTGGATTTCAGGGAATAACAAGTTTTACTTGACTTACGTTTTGTTAGTACGTAATGTTTTCTGTTAAAAGAACTACATCAATGTCAATTGTGTGTAATGACGCTACTTGACATCCATCCATGATTTAGCTGAATAAATGCTTAATGTTAGTTTTGTATTTGATAATTAATGATTTTATAAGGTGTTAGATGGTGTCAGGAAAATGGAGTGGGCCAGTAGTTGATTACAAACTAGTATAATTTTTATTGTTTTGCGTTCTCTTGTATAAACAAAGAAGAAGAACATTGCAAATATGTTTTAATCAGTCTGTGAAATTCTGAACAAATTAATAGTGGAGACAGTGACTTTACCCCCATGAAAAATGATCCGTAGAAATGAAAAAGGAAACGTGAAAAATGAAACGCACATCTATTCTTGCTTTTTCTTCTCTTTCATCTGTGTCTCACTCTGTGCATCTTTGTTATGGCATTTTGCATTCAAAGCAATCTGTAGTTTGTTGATTTAATTTCTTGTATGGATGCATTCCCCGTATTTGGGTAATTTTTTTGTTTTAGGAGACAATATACTACAAAGAACAAGAACATCATCAACCAAAATGTTAAACAAAGTGAACCAGAATTTGAAATGCAAATTGAAGTGAAAATCAATTACAAATTTGACCATTTATTTATTCAATATATATGTAAATAGTATATGTCATATACTATTTGAAAGATACGTCACTGATATATAATAATGCATTTTATTTGAAAAAACAGAATCTCAGACTTGCCTCACTCTTTGCATCAGCCTAAGATCCATAGCGTGAGGCATTCACTTTGCCAGCAGGCCTGTTAAGCTAATAGACTTAAAGGTATTGTAGGTTACACTTAAAACTGTTACAGCTAAATTTTAACTGACACAGCATGACACCTTGGTATATCCCAACACTGACCCCTTTTGCTTATCAGTACCATACTGGTACTGTTAACTGGTAGTTTCTTTTGTTAAAAGAGTCTCCAAACAGAGGAGAATCTTTTAAGTTCAAGTTTGAAGGGTTTTCTTTGTTGCTTCTAAATGAATGGCAATTATACAATTTCCCCCCTGTAGCTTGTGTAAAATTTTGATGAGTTTCAATTCTGAATATTTTTTTGGAGGAGTGTGAATGTGTAAGAGAGACACTCATGTCATTACTTTTGCTGTTTCCTCTGGCAGGAACCACCCCTGGCGTGTTTTTGAAACCGTGAAAGTGGTGAACAAGGCTGTAAGGCAGCGGTCTCAATGCCACTCACCAGGTGTGCCAGGCTCCAGCCCGGTGTCCGCACCTTCCAGCTCTAACAGCACCCCTCGGACCAGCTACTATGGCTCCGATAATGCCAGCCTGAACTTGGAAGACAAGCCGAGCTCCAATCATGCTCAGAAGGAAGACAGCAGGTAAGACTGCACATCAGATGCCACAGTAATGCCTAAAGATTCGACACAGATTTTACATTTTGGGATACAGTTTGAAGCTGTAGGATGTTGACTTTAAAATAATGTTGTTAATTTTTTCTTTTTAGCGTTAGTGGGCCAAAACGTTTAGGTCAACCAGGCACACCAGGAGGCCAGGATCTCGAAACTGCCTTGTGCAGACTCTCAGTCCGCCAGCAGAACCACTCTTCTGACCGACCTTTCTTCGATGTGGAACGCGAACGTAAACTCCGTGCCTTGGCAGCAGACAGTGAGGAAGGCGAGGGCTCTAGTGGCTTCCTGACGCCAAATTACAGCCTGGCCTCCAGCCCAGCTGCTTCAACAGGCACCAACTACTCCAACGGTAGCTCCCGACACTCCTGTGGCTCCTCGGGAGGATCCAGGTCCTACCTACCTGACCGTCTGCAGATTGTCAAACCTCTGGAAGGTAAAATTTTTAGCTTTATGTTTCTCTAATCATGTCTTCAAACCTGCTTCAGCATTTGTGCAGTCTTGATGAAGCATAAGAAAGTAAAACAAGACAGAAAATGACGAGCTTCTTCACCTTAGCCTCTGTAGTAAATGCCACGGATGAAAAGCTGCCCTGCTCAGAGAGCAGTATTTGTAATGCATCTGTATTTTTTTACCACACACTTCAGTGGCAACACCTTCTGAATCTCTACTCTTCAGGCTCAGTGACTCTGCACCAGTGGCAGCAGCTGGCCAAACCAAACCTGGGAGGTATCCTGCATCCACGCCCGGGAGTCCTAACTAAAGACTTCAGGGAGCTCGAAGTTGACATACAGCACGTCTACAGCTTGAACGACCTGGAGGAGGATGAGCCAGACCTGTCACACCTCTCTGGAGCTCACGGCATGGGTACGACACATTGGCACACTACACACACAAGTCAACTAGTTGTCTCATTTCTACTCAATTCCAGATGACATATTTACTGAAGTGCATATCTTCTCATTATAGAGGATAGCTCCCATTCCTTGCAAAATTAGTGCAGGGTTCATCTTCATTCAGTCTTTTAGTGACTCTTTAGATGTGTGTCCTTTCCCACATGTGTAGTTTAACCTACCTTTTTCCCCTCCATGACCTCACAGTCTCTTCATCGGGTCCCAACCTCCCTCAGACCCCTCCCACACATCCCATCACCACCTGCCAAGTCCTCCAACCCTCCCTAATCATCCCCTCCTTCTCCACTAGGTAAGAACATACTGTTTTGGGGTTATTTCGTCTTTGCTCATTGTGTTTTTTCACAGCTCTGGCCAAGGTAAATACTCTTTAGGCAGTGTTAGTTGGATTTTTTATTAACCTTTTAAACTAGATTTACTAACCCAAACTTTTTTTTTCCCAGTGTCAGTTTCATTAAAGCGGGCCTAAATTGTTTGTTTTCTTTTTTTTGTGAAATTGTGTGCAGCGATACTAAATATGGGCAAAGTTTGACATAATGAGGTCACTGTGTATGCTCTTAACACTATGGCCATCCCAGGCACATAGCTCTTAGCCACAAACTGCTTTTTAAGTATTCTGTTTGCAAGGGACAGCCAATCAGAAGTAAGCTGTCTTATAGGAAAGGTGGCTTTAAAGGCACCAACACTAAAATGGTTCATTTTATACAGAAGATGACTTGAATGAATTACTTCCCCAAGGCTCTAAGGCTACTAATTTAGACTCCAAGAATAAAATTGTGGAGCTGAAAATGAGCACAATAGGTCCACTCTAAACAGGTATAGATATTACAGATTGCAGTTGCTCTGTCTTTCCTAACTTCCATTCTTTACCCTCTCAATGGTAGAAAACGTCTGTCAAGGCTCTTTCTCCAACTCTAGAAGGAGCCACCAGGGAAAAGTAAGAGCCTGGTGTTATAAATGCACTCTGAATGCTTGATTAGTGTCTGTAATATTAACGACAGAGGCATGATCTCCAGCACTTCCAGTCCTCACTCTGTGCATGAAATGAGTGATCAATAAGTCTAGAAAGGAGTTTACTGTGTAAACATTTTAATATATTTATAAAACATAGATCTACCTAAATCTAATGTACTGCATTGCCTTCCACGGTAAAACAATTTAAAAAGTTGGTTCACTGCTTTTAGATGCTAAGTAGGATGTAGTGGGAGGTCTGTAAATGTTACTTGATGCGCCATGAGTCCTACTTCCGTTATGCATGTTATCTTCTACTAACGCTGTGCCTACCGTTGTAACATCTGCTCTTACTTGTTTTTGAGTTTTTTATTATATATATATTTTTTACCATCTCTTCCACTTTCTTCCACACCAGATCTGTTTTCCTCATCACTGGGATATTAACATCATGTTTCTCCACTTTTTAGTGTTGATGTACTAAACTAACCAAAACGTCTCACATCGTCTTTTTTTCCCAGTCGGTTTATATGAATATGCATGTGCTTGTAGAGGAGATGTTATGTCATTTAGTTTTAATATTTTGTTTGTTTCTTTTTTTTTAATAGCCTTCACTCTTTCGGCCTGCCACCTTCTCGGGACCGTGAGCACGTGAGCACTTCACCAGCCTTGCAGCAGGACTTTGGCCAGGGAGGCCAGACAGCCACCACAGAGCTTAGCACTTCATCACTGGGACTCCTGCAACTGCTGCAAGAGCGCGGCATCTCAGCTTCCCGTCATCCCCACCACAACCTGCACTACAGCCGCACTGGAAAACCTTCATTTTCTACAGTATCAGACAAAAGAGGAGACTTTTTCTCACACAAAGAAGGACGAAGGAACATTTTTAGCTGGAACTTGGTGGAGAAGCTTCAGAGTCTTGGGTTGCACAGAGTGGCAGCCTGGGGGATGAGGGGCCCCAGTGACAAAGACAGGGAAGCAGTCAGACCTCCTCCGAAAGTGTGATGCATTCACCTCCACACTCCTCTCTCATTCACCATAGTGACTTTGCATAAAGCCATGCGATTCCTACTGTGCACTTCAGTGCCCACCACAGCACCCGTGTCTTGAAAAGAAAAGCCACAGAATGTGTTAGAGCCATACTTTCAGTTATTGGTAGTGTGCAGTACAATGTTTTTCTATGAACTTGTGCACGGTAAATTATTCTTTACATGTGGGACATTTTCATCTCAGGAAAACCACCTGATCACTGCTGTGTTGTTTGATTCACACTTTGCTTCTTTTTACGCAAAAAGGAAAATGATGAAGAAAAGAAATATTTTATACTTTTGTGTTTTGACGTTCCTTTTACAATTTGCCCCACCCGCAATCACTGGTTTTAAAGAAACCTCCTCACTCGTCATTTTATTAGTTTCCAAAGAGAAACATGAGCTATGTGTAAATAATAACTGTCATTTAGGGAAATGAAAAAAGACAATGTGCTGTAAATTACTGAGAGTAGAGAAACCACAAACAAACCAATGCTGTCCCTGAAAATGCACTAAAACGCAGTCTGGTCTTCCTGCTTATTTGCTGCTATGTTGACAAAAGCATATAGTATATAAGTTTGTCAAACTATTCTTAGAAAGAAGCACTGAGAAGAAGCCTGACGATCCAGTGACTGAACTGAGTAATGTTAATAATATTAAGCAGTCTGCCTTGCAGTCCATTACTTGCTCTCACATGCACACTTCCATTTCACCTCTAAGCTGTTTAAAGTTACGCCTTTATGGACTTTATTCTGAGCCAAACCTCACCACAACCAAATCGGATTTGCATGCTGTATGGAAGACGGTGAAGCAACATGTTGACTCCAGTGACTCAAAGTTTTGTTTGTATAAATCTGCTGTATAAATCATGTCATCGGGAATTTTTAAACCACTGGGATTTAAATTTAACCGAAATCACGCTGGGCATTTCAGAGTGATATCTGTGACAGTAGGCGCAATAAGTAATATGTAATAAGTACAAGAGTTATCATGATAATTTAAACAGCATCACCCTGGTTGATCAATCAGCTCTGGCGAAAAAGCCACAGGATAATGTGGATTTAAAAGGGAAGAATTCATAAACAGAGATTTGTGTTTCTACTTAAATTAACCAAACGACTGTTTCTGTGCGCTGTTGTTTGCTGTAACTCTACATGTCAGTGTGTGCGTGAACTGTACCACCTGTGAATAAATGTTTTCATTTCCACCAAGTTCACTTTTGACTCTTCGTCCACTCATCACCAAAGATATGGAATAAAAACAAGTGCAATAAATCTGCAAAACTGTTTATTTCGAAAGTTGCATGGGAAGTAAACGTCCACTTTTTTTATAAAATCTGAACAAAAAAGCATTGCGCCAGCTCTCCAGCTGTTGTGATGTGCCTCATTCTGTGTCCCGGCGGCCAAAATCCACCCAGCCCTGGTAGTCCCGATCCGTCATGCACTCGGAGTTCATCAGCTCTGTGAACAAACCATTCCTACAGTACATGAACCACAAACAAAAGGGTTCAGTATGCAAATCTGAGCATTGTCTTGGACCTCCGCCTATTCACACATTGCTCTAATTAGCTGAAGTGAAACAAGATGACAATCACAGAGCTTTCCCACCCAAGTCTGCAGCATACCTGAAATTGCTTGCATTATTTGTTTGGTCATTATCTCGCGCTCATCAACTGAAAGGTGCGCCCGTCGTTCCACCCGTGCAGAGTGAGTGCGGGGTGCTTGCCTCTGTCTTCCAGCCGAGTCTTTTGCCATCTCATGTTTAGCTAGAAGCTGCTTGAGAACATTTGTCTCCTCAGTCTCTCCGGTTTCAGTTGGGGAAGCTGCTCCAGACACAAGCAGAGCAACCAGCAGTGCAAATACCACGAAAACTTTCCCTGACATTCTCTCTGCGCAGTAAGAAAGAAACATTTGAGTAAACATGAGATGTATTCTAAAAAAAATTAGGTATCAAAAATGGCAAACTTACTGTACCTGTGAAGATAGGATGAGATATGTACACAACAAAGTGTGATGAGCGTGATGTCTCCAGTGCACAACTGCTGATTCCCAGCAGGCTGTCTCTTTTATACCCAAGTTTGGTGTCAGCATAATGGCTTTCAATCAAATACTGATAATGGTGTTCACCACAGAGCGTTTGATTAAGAGATGGATACATTGGAAAAAGGATGTGCGCAAAGGAAATTCTGCAAGTTTACATGGAGAAACACATCATTATATTTGTCACTTAAGACCTCTTTTGCACTGCAATAACAATAAAACAACTCGATGTGTTTACACTGAAAATCCAATATTTCCTTAGAAACCATTTAAAACAATACAAATCTGATGTAACAATAAAGACACTGTTAAAAAGTCAACTTTAGGGAGGAGGAAACACAGGTTTCCTGTACCTGTACAGAAACGTACATTTAAACAACGTCCCATTTCTTTCAGTTTTTTTTAACTGGTAGTATTTATTGAGAATACTATACAAGTCTTTCAATTTGCACATTATATGTTGTTTACATTGCTACTCTTCATATTTTTTATATATTTTCATCCATTCTCTTCCATTTATCATTAAAAAAATCGCTGAGGGGCTGGAGCCTATTCCAGCTACCATGGAGTCAAGAGTCATACACCCCGAACGGGTCATCAGCCTGACGCAGGGCTAAGACATAGAGACAGACAACCATTCGCAATCACATTCACAGATATTTATTTATATTAGCATGAACTATGTAAGTGAAAGTAAAGCAAGTGAAAACAAGATACCTAAAATCACTTAATGAATCAGAATCATCATTGAAATTACCCCCAATTATAAAACAAAACACATCACATTCATTCATACTTGGATTGAATGTATTTACCTGCAGCTTTAAAGAAAAAAAAGTAGAAAGTTACATAGACGTTACACAGATGTCCTTCATAATGTTCAGGCTGTAAACATTTCTGTGAAACGTTTTCTTGACATATGTTTAAAAAGCGAAGTTAAACGGTGATACATCAAATATAAAATGTGCATAATTTATTACTGTCATGCTGCAGCCTGTACTTTCCACATGACGTACACACCACCCTTTTAGCAAAAGTCATACTTGCTTGGATAACATTAGCTCTGTTTACATACAGTACTGTATAGATTTTTTTTTCAAGTGTCCCAGTTACTCTGAATCCAGCGTCCCCTGATAATGTGTGATGTTTAACTGCTTGTAGAAACTCAGCCTTCATATATTTTTCTTCCAGGCAGTGAAAGTGTGGTCTGTCCGCTGTGAATGATTGTCTGCTACTTTGATTTATGCAATAAAAGTGATAACAGCACAATGGAGAGCAGCAAATGTACTTCAATGTATGAATCTACAAACTGCCTCAGGGTATTATAACTAATTTGTAATACATACAGAACACGAGCCTGCAAGTTGATAGAAAGGCATATGTGACCTTTATCCAACCTCAGTCTAATATCTTCTAATACACTGCTAGACAGATTATTACTGGTCTAAATATTTCATTTTTGTTATCTGCAGACTAAAGGGACACACACCCATCAGTAAAATCTGATAATGTCCACAGACACCACCTGCTCTTGACAAACTGCTCCTTTCACTTGTTATTTAGTTCAGATTCATACCCACACACACTGTTAGCTCAAGGCTGCATCGGATGTTTGGTGCAGGTTTTAGTCACTGTCACTGATTTTCTCTTGTCTCGTCTCAGGTACGTGTCTTCAAATTCCGTCATGCTGGTGAAAGGTTATGATAAGACGTCTACATTACACATGAGTAGTGTTTCCAATGCAAAACTTCCCGATAAAACTTTCCCTTTGAAATTCCAAATATATCCCAAAATCGGACATCGCAGTTTAAGGAATAATTTTGCTGATATTCCATAAATGATTTTTTTGTAAAATCCACAATAAAGAATACCAAACAGGATTGTTTTGAAGAAATGTTGAAGTTTAAAGACAAATTGTGGTGAGGGCTGATTAAAGGCTCTTTAACAATATGGTAAAGCTTATTTGGCATTTAGGTCTGAAATCTGTATACATGTAAAGGTCGGTTCCACTGAATAGTGCCATGTAAAATACTACAGTGTACTCAGTCATGCATGTCAGCAGTATGGGTGTGTTCCACAAAGGTTAAAATGATTTTCAGGTTCTTGTTAGTCACTTCAGAAAGGTTTACTCTGACCACATGTTACCTGAGCTTCCAGAGAAAAAGGTGTGACAGCGTCTTGTTTTGGTATGTTTGGGTGGGGGTGGTGGTCTGGAACAGAGATCACAGCTCTATTTGGACGGGTGTATATTTAAAATCATTTATGGTGCCAACAGCTATTAATGTTGTTGTCTGCTTCTTTCAATTCACAGAACAAAAATAGCTTTAGCCTCTCAAACAAAATTGTGGTTGTGCAGAGGAACCAGTTTCTAATAGTTAAATCCTTTTTCTTTCACATGAGTGCATGTAAAACCTCGTGCATATAATACTTTTCATTTTGTCCACAAGTGTCTTTGTGTGGTGCAGTTTGAGATAAGGAGAGACTAATAACATAATACAAGAACACAGACACAGATTACAGAGCTCTGCTGTTTACTTATTATTTTAAAGATACTATATTAGAATACACACACACACACACAGTTTATTCAGATTTGCTGACTTTCATTTTTGTACAGCTCTGTTAAGGTCCTTTCCTGGCATTTCAGTCAGGTAAAGGTCTGGAATTTGGGTGCCCAGGTCCTGTGACTGCAAAATAAGCCCAAACCCTGAAACCACTGTGCCTGACAGCTGGTATGAGCTGTTTGTACTGATATTGCGTGCATTATGCCTAGACATCTCCACGCTGATCTTGTCTGTCCAAAGTACATTGTTACACAAATCTTGTGCTTTGTTCAGAGGCAGATTTGCATTGCCAAACTATTCTGCCATGCTCTTTTTAAAGAGAAGAGGCTTTCCACTGTGCTGTCTAATCTTTTTCATCAGTGTTTCTCAAGGTAACTGAGGCCTGTAGACTCTGAGATGTAGCTCTTGGGTTTTTTACAGAGCGTATTTGTTGGTTTTGCAAATTGTTTGTATTAAAACTGTTACCAACATACCACTCATTGTTTGGTATGTGCAGATGAAGCTGTCTTACACCCCCAGAAAGGCTTAACAAATACCACTGGCTTAGGCATAATTACTGCTCATAGGTGGTTGTGATAGTGATCTTTTTGTTAAACTTACCTTCTCAGTCAGGGTGAACATGAAAAAGTTGATCACGCTACCTGCCATGATGCACCTGCTGACTTGCATTTTAGAGAAAAAAAAACTTAACTATCAAATGCAGTGAAATTAATTTAAAAAAAAGAAACTGATCATACCCATCCAAATACCTTCTCCCCCCATTTTTATATAATTATTTTACTCTTGTTTGTTGTCTTTTCAGCTTCTTTTGGGTAACTCACTTAAAATCATCTTAGCATTCATCTGTGCCCCATAAAGTAACGAGTTGGAAGTGTAATGAGTTAAGAAGAAATAATTAGCCACATCTTAGGTTTTGGCTGGATTTCAGCATAGTTATCAGTTAAGCTGTCTGACTAGATGTTCCACTTATCTTTCATCAAAGTTTGTCTAATGAAGACTTACACACCCAATCGATGGAAACAAAAACAAAGACAACAAAAACTATTATCTGCATACCACACTGTTGTTGTTGCATGGCATTTGAGACTGCCCCCCTCACTAAGAACCCTATAAAATACCCTGCTGTGTCTTGCAGGATCACACCTCGGAGACATTCCTTCTGTGCTCACCATCAGCCTCGCATCACGACAACCTCCTGTCACCATGGCAGCCTCTTTGACCCAGCAGAGCAGCTACAGCGTTAAGCAGAGAACCTACAGTTCCAGCAGCCTGGGCGGATGGAAGCAGAGTAGCACGTCCTCTGTTGGCTACACACCCAGTGTGCATGGCGGAGCTGGAGGTTATGGGACCCGCATCTCAAGATCCAACTCTGTCTTCTCTTTAGGGTCCGTGGGCTCATATGGAGAGACTTCTGTAGTCGGAGATGGGAAGGCAACCATGCAGGACCTCAACGACCGCCTGGCTGATTACTTGGCAAAAGTAGGTTTTACTGATGAGCGCTAGTTGCAAGAATTACTCCCCCCCTTTATTTACTTTTAACAATTTGCATTTGTAATCACTAGTTAATAAATAATAAGATTAATTTCCATATAGTAAAATAACAGTTTCTAACAGTACATATTGACCTAACCCTAACCCCCTTTATTCTATTATCTTATCCTATTCTATTGCTTTTTTCCCCTTAATGTTTTACTGCTCTTAAACTTGTACTTTCTGTTTTAAACTTGTACTTGACCAAAAAAAAAAAAAAAAAAAATCCCACATGTGGGACTAATTAAGGTTTCTCTTATCTTATTTAATTTTTTCATGCAGCACTTATAATGGGGTGTCTTTATATTGTTGTAGTGAGTAAAGGATCAACATACTCATATACAATAATGAACACACACACAAAAAAAAAACCAAACCCCAAAACAAACTAACAAAAAAAAAACATATGAAATTTTACCAAATGGAAAAATGTAGAACAGTTGCTTTCAGACAAATAATGATAGCCTGCTTGTATGAACCAGTATTTCCTCGTGATGTGCAGGTGCGTTCTCTGGAGGCCAAAAATAGGCAGCTGGAACTGAACATCGCTGAGTTCTGTCAAAAGTCAACTGTTGTTACCAAGAACTACGGTGGCTATTTTTCCACCATCAGTGACCTGAGAGCCGAGGTACCTCTCACACTTTACATAACACAACACACTGAAAAGCAAACCATTTTACAATGCACACACACGAAACCTCGAACATTGCCAAACACCCGAAGTAAACATCTATGCAGGCGACTGAAACA